CTATATATATATATATATATATATATATATATATATATATATACAGGTATATTGTCAAACAATACTAATTTACATCAATAGAAATAATAGGTAGTAAAATACAGCTGTTGAATTGTATCTTATGTGTACAAAAATATGATTCACTTTCATTTTCATGAAGATACGATTTGAGACCAAAATCCATTACATGATTTCCCACGATAACGATGTTTTTTTTGCCACATTGAGTCCTGTAGGATAATGCAATAGAGCACCTTAGTTAGAAAAGGGCCTAGACTTTTCGTGGAGCAGAGCCAATATTACAGCTAACAATATTACGGTGGTGGCGTTTCAATGCAGACACATGCGATGCGTCGATAATAGAATGAATTATGTTAAAATGTACGCTGTGTAAAACGTAATGATCAACTGGGATCCCTGTACTAAACCGAGTTTCCTGTATTCTATTTTATCAATTAACAAATGATGTAGCTTAGTGGTTATAGTGCTGGCCCTTCAATTTTGAAGGTATTTGGTTCAACCCCTTGCAACTCTAAAGCCACCATCACCAGCACTTTCGTCACAACAATAATAATAGCCAAAACCAATACCCAAAAAAAAAAAGCAATGTTAAGATGCAGAAGCATCAATGTACTGAAAATGTTTTAAGATAACAATCAACCATGGACTCCAGATAAGAAAACTATTGCACTGTTAATTGGTAATTCAATCAGAGATCACCAGCCCATTAAACTCACATATTAGATTTAATATTGTTTGTTTTTAAGCGTAACATACAATGAGTGAAAATAGGAGGAAAAAGTACAAAAATAATTCATTAAAGACTGAAAACCGAAAATTTATAAATTATGTAAGTTATTATTAAAAATTTGGCAACGGAGTGAAAGATATTTTTGAAAACACTAATAGAATGCAAATGTCAGATATGCTCTTGGGATGAAAATTCCAAAGATGTGGCGCCGAGAAAATCTACTGGTTAGAATGTATTTCCATCCTACATTTGGTGTGGTAATGTTAAAAATTTAAAAAAAAACAAAAACCAATGACATTACTTACTTGCGACACCTTCCAAAATTATTCGCTGCATTATATGCATAGCATCCATTCATACTGTTTGCATCTTCCCATGAAATAAGATTCAAATACTTTTGGTCGTTATGGTTACAGACACTCCATCCTTGTGCACACAGCACTTTACCATGTTTTACGTGTCCTTTCCACGCACCATGGCACGCAACGATCCCAGGTAGGTGATTCAGGCCTTCTACTGATTTATCATGACATCCCATTTCCTCATCAGGTACTAAACAAAAAAATAAATATAAATACATATATATATATATAAATGCAATAACAAAAATAATACTATAAAATAATTTATTCTAGATTAGAAAAGCAGAAACAAAAAGCATATATTTATTCAAATTAAGAATAACCTGTGCACAAAAGCTTGGATCGATACATTTATACATTCTAGCTTGTGTCTATTTATTTTGATTTAAAAGTGATCACCATAAAAAATGTGGAATTTAAAATCTCTAAAGTTCTACCTTTTTTCTAGTACTCATTATGGCAAATATAGTAAGTAATAAAGCTATTTAAATTAAGATAGCAAGTACGAATTGTTCAACCAGGGTACAGTGACATTACAATGTCGATCACCATAAGAACACGATGCAGGAAGTATTAGATCATGTAGTTTACACAATAGCGAGCATGCGCAAAGTAATTGGGTCGTCATAATTAGTTGTAAATTGTTTATCAGTTGATTATGATAAGAGCGGTGGTAAAGCGGGTTATAACCTTTGATGTTCGGTTCGAGATGTTTCCATGTAATTTCACTGTTCCCTGGTTCAACCAACTTTCTCAGCAGTAAATAAATGGAATTTTCATAATTCAAAAAGTTTATGAAACAAGTTACAAAAAGCATTTATTTTTTGTTCTGGTGATGCCCCAGTGGATTCAGCTTTTCAAAGAAAGATGTTTTCAATCATTTCTTTAGGATGCAACTTGTACAATCATCTCTGGACAATTTAAACACAGTGCATTAACACAGAGAAGTCAACATTTTATTTTCGCTTTAGAATCGTACATGAACCATTCAACAGAAATGTGTGTTCCATATAATAGCACCATACAAAAATATCTCATATTGCTTTTAAAAATAATAACTTTATTTATTAATTATTTTACTTGAATGCAGGTAAATATCTATATAAGCCAGTAGGTTCGTAATGTTATTTTGATAATCGCATTAAAATGTTCCTTTGTTTATAATACAAAAACAAAGGAACTGAAATCTCAATTATAAAGTTTAATTTCTTAAAAAATATCAAAAGCATGTTGATTTTTATCCTTGGGTAATTTCTTTCCTTGTTTCCCTACTTTTTAGTCTTTGATTTGCCTGTCATCATACTTGTACGGTAAAGTGTGCACCGACGATGTCACACCGAATTTCCTGTTAATGATGTATGCACCGTAACAAACCTTACCAATCGCAACGAGCACACGAATCAGCAACGATAGAGCTAACTTACTTTCTAAGGTGTTTATATTCTACTTCCCCAAGTTTGAGAGTTGTGTGTAACACCGTCGCTATTGGTTAATTTATCAACTAATGCCGCTACAATGTTTTCCCTCCCATTAATTGCCACAATTAACGTCCACAGACGACATTAATTTTTCCCTAACAGTTCAATGGCCTCAACACGTTTAATTTCAGGGCTGTTTGATAAGGTAACAGTATCTTATTATTATAGATAAGAATCGTCACTTAATTTTAATTTTCGCTGGAGAAATCAAGGTATAATAACAATCTTGAGAGAAAATTAGAGCATTACAGTAATTAAGATGATATCAGTCTCAGTTTCTTGAAAAATTCCAAACTAAGGCTATCATTAGATTATCACCCTAATATCTTAGAAAATTGGCAAGGGAGAGGTTATTATTTAATTTACGCAAGAAGCTTCATTGGTGGTCACAGCGTACAAAAGCAAGTTGATTTAACTGCACATGTAATACACTGACTTATATTAACAGCTAAGTACCAATTTTGACCAAAACATGTTATCTTTTTTAACTTTTATATAATAGAATACTTTCATCCTTGTGAAATGGCTGGAAAGTTAATTAAAGATACAATTTAAGAAAGATTCTAAAATCAAAAAACAAGAAAACATGAAATGTATTCAAAAGTTCCTTTAAACAGAAAAATTAATTTTTGAAATTCATCTCAATTTATTTAAACTTTTTTTTCCATTATTCAAAAAAAAAAAAAAAAAATCGGTATCTCCAAATCCAAGAGAAATTGGGAAATTCTTAAAGTAGGGCATTTTTTTGGAAGTACTATATCATATATAGAAAAAAAGAGGAAATAGTTTTCCTGTTTCTATTTGCAATGTATATGAAGGTCAACATAAGTTTACACTAGTTCTTCCGTTACATTGCCGATTTATAATGTTCAAGAGTTGTAACAATGTGACTCAGGTTTTGGGTCATTAGAGCTAGCAGCCCAACATGCTGCATCCTTATTGTGGATAGATAACATGTTTATGGTCATCAATCCCGGTTAAAATGTAATCATCCTGAGATTGATTAATACAGCATATAGACTAATTTCCGCCTAGACAAGCTTTCTGACAGTGAATGTGTGAGCCTACTTAGACTTAACTACATTTATGATCTTTTGGAATTGTCTCTCTAACCAGTTCATTACTTTCGTAGTCTTAACCACAAGATATTTCTATCAATAAGATGCTTAACTTTTTATCATTGCAACATAAAAAAACTCGTAACCATGGAGTGTTTCTTGTCTCAACAGAAAGATAAACAAATATGAAACAGTAAATCTGGCTGTCATTCATTGAAGTTGCCCACAATTACAGTTTTGCCAACATCCTGTCCTTGAAAATTGTATTAAATAACACAAAAATCGAAAGGAATGTCATTTCAGATAATTTATGACGAGTGGTATAAAATCAACACAGTTATAAAATAATTGTAAAAATCATTTTCATGCACAACTACAGGGCGGTACATTTATTATGATGACAATCAGCTGTCCAGTAAGAATATTTAAAAATATACTTGATGGAAAAAAAATGCTTAAAAAATTTAATTAAAATAAAAGAAAGTGTTATGTATCACATTACTATGCCAACCAGTGATCATAAAATATAAATATAATTAAACATAATATAACATGAATTGTAATAACATAATAAATAATAATTACTAATATAATATTGGTTTTAATACTTCACCCTGTTACCCAATAAAGTTAAAATTTCTCCGGAGTGCCTATAAACTCAAATAAGTCTACATGCATGTTTTCAGCGCAAGGAAATAAAACTAAAATTATGTAAAAAAATATAAATATGCAAGTGTACCTTACATGTTTGCAACCATCACCGCTAGTGTATGAACTAAAATAAGCATTGTGCAAATTTTAACCAAGACAAACCATCAGTATACCACTTTTTACAGATAACCAGCACAGATAGAATTCTCATGCGTGGAATATAAATAGGAATATGGAATGCAATAAAATCAGCAGAAACTGGTTTTAAAATATATACTGTAGCCAACAGGAAACTGATGTTTATTAGTCAATTTGTGACCCGCCAGAAGCATATCTGTCACTTGAAGTAGAGTCACAAGTTGATTTAAATTACACCCATTTCCAAGTTTCAATTACCGTATACTTTACCTTTGATATTAATGACAATTCGAGATGAATTTATCTCGGTTATTTGTGTGTCTGAAAAGTGGTTAAAAACACATGTACATTTAAAAGGTTTTAGACGTTAAAATAAATCCATTACAACTATCACTCACAATATGGGATTTTTACATTTATATGACCAAGTAAATATATACATTACTGTATATTTCAATTTAGGTTTGCTGCGTATCACCGCAAACACAATGTAAACAAATATAGATAAGTATACAATAGGTGTAATTTTGCCCTACCTGACGTGGAAATGTACCGAATACTCAGTACATTTGAAAACAACTGCGAAAAAAATCGCAAGTTGTTCTCGGGTGGGACTCGAACCCACAATCTCCAGATCACTAGCCTGGCATCATACCGCTAGACCACCAAACTTGCGACTGATGACCAGGGTTGAATTCGAGTCCAAGTAAGCAGCGGGTACTGCAGCGTTGATAGTAATTGTTATTGTTGTGATGGAACAATAGACAATAACAGGGCAAAAATTACACCTATACATGTTTCTCCCGACGCAAATCCAGTTATTGTCTATTATTCCATCACGACAATAACAATTACTATCAACACTGCAGAACCCGCTGCTTACTTGGACTCAAATTCAACCCTGGCCATCAGGCGGAAGCTCGGTGGTCTAGAGGTATGATACCAAGCTAGTGATCTGGAGATCGTGGGTTTGAGTCACCCGAGAACAACTTGCGACAGTATAACTTTTTGTAACTATTAACATAACTATTATTTTTAACGACAACATTGAATTGTCAATTTTGATGGCCCATTCATTAACTATATTATGGTTGCTGTAAGCGTCGGTATGTATATAATAACCAAAATCAAGGTTTGTTTATGAGATGTGAACTGTGATTCAGTGTAAATAAACAGAAAAAAATGCAGAACAGGTGACGGGTATCTCTATCAGGTTTAAAAAAACCTTGCCATGAAATTCACACCAAATGTTCTAGATCATCTTCCAAACTGGATAGTCTTCCACCACGGCAAAATTATGGTCACTTTGATCATATTTTTAATTGATATGTCAACAAAAAATCGGCTTTGTCCAAGGTCCATGCCACGTCCCAGCAGGTATAGACACTTTAAACTGGGCCCATCGCTGAGTGCGGTGAGAGAGAGGGTCTTGAACAAATTAACAAAACCCGCTGATATGACATAAGATAAACTTGAAAGCAGGTGGCCGTGTAATACGCTAACTGGACTTTAATAACTTCCGATCAATTTAACCCTCAAAACGTAAATTGAGAATAGTAGGTAATTTGGCATTCCATCTTCTTAAACGACTGAATAAACAGGCACACTTTTCAAGACGTATTTCCATATTGTTGTCCTGTTTTACAAAAATATTAGTTCAGATGAAGGTAGTAGTCCTAACATTCCTGATGTTAATAGACTTACCATTTTTAACTACAGTGATAAACGTATCTTTTCTGTCAAATCCGGACAAATTATCAGCTACACAAGAGTACGAGCCGGTGTCTTGTTCTTCAATCTTTGATAATGTTAGAGCACCTGGAAGAAATAATGTAAAATGTTGAAAATTTAAATGTATATAGTTGATCTTTCTTCCCCTCAACCTCTCGGTACAACTTGGAACAGGTTAGAAGAACCATGATTAGTGTTTGGTAATAGGGATAAAATTGCTGTCTCCTCATGTATTGTTAAAAGCTGTAAATATGCCTATTATATATAGGCCTATATTATCATCATCATTGTTAGATACCTTCTTTGCCACTATCTTCATTTACAATGTCACAATCATCACTTCTGCTGGTTTGGGGGAGGGGGAGAACATAAAATATGTCATTTTACATTCATTATCCACTCATAGTGTATTAATAATTACATTTATTTTAATATGAATTAAAATGTAACACAATGCATAGCCTGTGTGCCACTTGCAAATACAAAGACATTGAGATGAGCATGATGCACTTTTTTTACAACAGTAATTTATTCTACCTTTGTCTAATTTCAGTCGCTTATCTTCTTTATGGATAATTTTGCCGTTACGGAACCACCGTAGGTTTGGTTCAGGAAGACCGGAGGCATGGCAAGTCAGTGTCATATTGAATCCTGACAGTATCTTCATCTCAGGGGGTAGCTTTGTATCAATTTCAGGTTCTTTCTCTGAAAATAAAAATGTTGATAATGTTTGAAAATCCGATTCCAATTAAAAGATTATTTATTGAGTGCTAGATACATATACACACACCCATACTTAATTATCCCTGCCATATCCCTTAGGTATGCCAAGTTTTTCCATTTTTTTAATCAGACAGTCGCCATTTAAAAGCCTACAGTATGCAGACTGATGATATTACTGGGAGGGGTCCCTATATATTTTTTTCTATGCTTTACTTGATAAATAAATGCATTCAAACTTTCTCTCTGGGGTATGGTCACAAGATCCCCTTAATTCTCTCTAATTAGATCAGATAGTAAAAAACTCAAATCACTTCCCCTTTTCTTCACTTCGTTTTTCCCTGACTCTAAGTTTTCCTGAATATGGTACATAGCTGGTTTGAAAAAGAAAGTGAAAAACATAGCGCATGAGGGCTGTAGGCCAGGGACCAAGGCCGCTGAGCCATGAAACTCAGCATGCCTTCGTGAAAATTACCTTCAACATGCAAAGGAAAAGCTGATGCCAACTTGTATTGCATTAATATAAATATTCATATACATTCATATTTACATATTTGCAAGATATTTTTAGACATAAATGGTATTTATTTAAAGATACAACATATTTTAATGATCCAGCAATTCGCATAACAATTAAGAGATCTACTACTGTAATATCATATTTAATTATCTGACACAATATTATGAAGATATTACAGACACACATGATATTTTAATCTGTCATCAAACGGATAGTATGATAGTTTGTAAGTAAACGCGCGTAATACATGTACCATCAGTTAGTTTTACCCTAAGGGTAGAATCAAGGTGCTGGGATGTGCTCCACACCTGCCATGATATCACTCATCACTGTTGTCTATCCTGCTGTCAGATCCCTAACATGCGAACACAAGTAATAGCTTTGACCTGTTGAGAGGTTCAAGAAAACGCTACTCTTACAACAGCGAGAATTCCCAGGTGTTTGAGCCATATATCTGATAGGTCATATTCATCCCTCTATATTTATTGAAAAAGTAATCATCCTGAGCTTTACAACTTATGATTGGCTATTCTGATGTTGCAAGAGTGCTTTCAATGAAAAGGTAACTGTGTTGAACAATTTTTATTTTGTTTGCTTTGTATATACATTTCACCATCGAATTCAAGACCTAGGACCTGAACATTTGGGGTGGTCTATGGTTCGGTCTTGACTTAGAGGTTATAGCTTAGTGTTTATAAATTGAAGATTGTATTTCTTTTGATTCTTTGAAAAAGTGGTCTCGAATTTGGAGGCTCAAAGAATCAGAGAGGGGGGTCTTGAATTGGAGGGGAACACTGTACTTGAATAGGGTATTTAGGTAGTTATTAACTTTCAATTTTCAATTACAACAAGAAAATATATTAGGTTTTAGGTTAGTTTAAGTGTTGAACATAATCAAAAATTTTGACTAGTACAGCACCTTCCTGAAAATAGTGGGCTGAAGCATTTGAATATAAAGTTGGCCCATGAAAAGAGGATATTCTTCGACAATTAACAATGCATAATTAATACCAATCCAATACAATTTGCTCAGACCATTACATTTGTTGGCAATCTAATTATGAACTAAAGTTCATAAATCATGGAGAATTGCTCGTTTCTCTCCATACTCTAATAGTACTCTAAAAGTTATTTGGTACTGCTTTTAAATGAGCAATTAAACATTTTTTATTCAATTTTCAAGGGTTTTGGATAATTTAGCATAAGTGCATCCAACTGAGAAGAAATAGATAGACCAATAGGCTTGCATTCAACCGTAAGTGCCACTAAAGTGTTTCAAGGTTCATCTATGCACTAGTAAAAAAAAAACCACATCCAATACAAAATTCAATAAGGATTAGTCAGTGACTAATGTTTTAGGCCTAAAATCATACGACTACATAAGATATTGCTAGGTCACATGATGCAAAGGGAATAGTGTGGATCCCTCCCTCCGAGGATAACACACACATCTCATTCTATGATTCATCGCTCTTCTGGGTTCTTCAATTCGTCCTCGCCTGTTTACTTTTAGAGACTTTGTAAGCACTTGCCTACCTGTAGAAGCCTGTAACACCTGCTGTAACCTGGGACGATCCATGTCCCATCAACAAGAGAACAAAGGAAGCTCAGTAAACAGCTCCACCTGCTCTGATCATCCTTAAACTTTCAAGAATCTATTTACCAATGACAATGATTAGACATGAAATGTCTAATTTCTACCAGGTAAAAGCTAGGCCTAGATTCTAGGCCCACCTGCGGTATCCAAGGTTCTCGTCCCTAGTGGGAAAGCAGCTTGTCCTCCTTTCATACCGTGGAGATATCTGTCTCTTCCTCTTCTAAACAATTACCGGCTTAGCTTCTGTTATCTGTACTATAAATCTTCCCATTCCCTTTTCTCTAAAGAAAATAGTTGATGCTTTAAGATTTGATTTTCAACTTCAGAGATTACCAATTACAGCATACTACTCCTAATAAATTGGTAATTTTTATTTCATATATCATAATAAATTTTTTGTGCAAAATTTAATAGAAATGTTTCCTTTTCTTTCATTTTGTAAAAGTTCATGTAGCCCTATTAAAACAAATAATTAAGCTGAAGCCAGATAAAATCCATAGGCAAACTGAATAAAAATTATTTATTATAAGATTTCAAGTGAATATTTTAAAAAAACTGCAATACATAAACATTATTTGATACATTTTCTTTAATCCTTGAAAAATTTTAATCTTAAAAACTATGGTCTTTGAAAACGTTTAATTCAAGTTTAAGTAACAACAAAAAATTAATAACACACTTAACGTATTCTCTGTTCTGGCTATTTTTGGTGTACAGCATGTTCTCTTAAAAATCATATTATTATTAAGTCTTGTATAAATGGTAACAATATATTATCTGAATCCGATGGGAAGCAACTAACGGATGTTTTGCTGCCTTCAGAGAAGACCGGTTTCCTCATGCTCCCTCCATCCGACTCTCGGTAGAGTAGATGCCGTTAGCCTCACAGATGGTTCAGGTTTTAATCAGACGGTAAATGCAAAGACGATGAAGCTAGATGGTAAGTACTAATACCAGAAATAAGGATGAAAATATTGAAGAGCTCTTAAGTATAGCAAACATCAAAGAGAAATGATGTTACCTATTGTATCAAATGTCTGTTGTCATCATCATAACTTGGTTAGTTGGTGAATAAATAAATAAATACTGTATAGATACCTTTATTTTGAGAAGGGGGAGAAAGTTCTGTATACCAATATCATAATCACCCCTACTGGTTCATGTATGTAATATTTTGGCATTCATTTGAGAATAGATGGAAGGGTAACTTTTTAATCATATAGACTGCCATTCAGTATTTATACTTTGTAGACCTATTTAATTATTGTTCAATTATATAACTATATATTCATGTATTTACTCAATATTTCTGAGCTTCTTACGGTAATTATTTAATAAGTTTTTGAGATAAAGTATAATTATAAAGATCAAAAGCTTTTTGTAGGGAATTATCACTTACTCTACTTTATAACCTTCTCTATAGGCCTATAAGTAAGATATCATCACTACATAAACTGCAAGGTGTAAACCAATGATACTTAATATCCTGTACATCAAATCACATGACACTTTTCGGCATGCAAAGTTATGTACATTAAAGGCAGTGATACACCAGCCTAGCTGAAATGACGTAAGGGACACAATCGTATCTGTAACTCTGGTATTTTTCATCACCCTTTTCTTGATTTATTATCAGCAGAAAGTGTCGGAACACATTTGAAGATTTCATAACACTAAAAAAAAAAAAATACCACCATTGATAATATTCACTGTGCTGTGATACTTAAGCAAACTGATTAATAGGTTCAGATTATACTTTATAAATCATTCTATTAATACAGTACAGGAAACCTGCCTACCTGGTACTACATGTATGAAAGATATCTGGAAAAGATTTCCACTTTGAATACTTTATCTATTGAGCTGAAGCACTTTTCCTTTAACTTGTTTAAAGTTATTTTCAAAATTTCAATAATGCATAGCCAATGTAAAGGCAATCTTAGATTTTTTTTTTCCTGAAAGTATTTGTAAAGTCAGATGAGCTCCTCAATCGAACTATATCCTGTGCTTTTGTTAGGTGGAAATGCTGGTATGTGAATGAGTAGCAGATAATAAAAATATACAAGTTTTGAATGGAATGCCCTATAATAATCTCCCAGAGCACTATTACATACAAAATGTAATAAATAAAAAAGACAAATTAAATAGTAAATAGATGCTCTTATTAGGCGATCCTTTAACAGTCAATGATGTTGCCTCCTTAAAATAAATATAGGAGATAGGCTGTATACTCAAGGTGGGCTTACCGAGGAAGTTTGGTATATTTTTTGTACTTTTTTCAACAACATTCTCATTGAAAATTCATTTTTTTCCAAAAGGTGAAGCCTATCATTGTTTATTAATTATTTAAAATCCTACTATCTTCCCAAGTTCGATCTGTCAGCTTTATATTGCTCTTGTAAAAGTCACCACCCATCAATTTTCATTAAACATCCGCTCAATAGTTTCTTTTATCTCTCTTTTGTAGCATCATCGCTACAAACATCATCACAACAACCTACAGTATCAACAACAGTATAAATATCGTCATTATAACCAATCAACTTCAATTTAGACGGTGGAAGTATTTCGGTTTCTCTTTCTCGTTCTTTTGATGCGCACAACAAGTGGTGAAGATCTGGTTTGGAAGACAAGACGACCATCACCATGGGAAATCAAACACAATCAGATGGAAAAATCCATTTCTAAAGTCGTGAAGGTTCTTACTCACACGGGCAGAGATCATGTGATCACTATCTAATTTTATAATCAATTTTGTCAACGTGTGGAGTATTATAAAACTTAGTTTAAAAAAGTACATAAAAAATAAATATAAAAAATTTAAAACATGTAGGCTTACATGTTGGACTCAGAAGTGAAATTATTTTGAAAAATAAAAAAACTGTTTAATATTTTAGTTAGGCCTACTTTCATATATTGAAATCTGTAATGATACTTTTGCTGTAGAAGATTTTGAGTCATATATAGGAATTCAAAGAATATAAATTTATGCTCTGCTTCAAATAATATTATTATAATGTCTTCAAAGTAACTTAACTATACCATTACAAAGTATTACTTTAACTATACATTTCAAGTCAAATTTTAAAAATTTGATTTATTCACTATATTTTAGACCTATAAAACATCTTCATACTGGAACAAATATTAATATCTAATTTTATTATTATTTATTATTATTAACTCTTTGTCATAAGTAGTATATAAATAAAACAGCATTAAAAAACCCAGATTCTATTATTTTAACCATCTTTAAAAACCAACCTAAATCCACACCAGGTTCTCTCATCGTTTTGTAGAACATGTGTACTATTGTACTTTACTAATTTGGTGATTTTTCCAGAAATTTCAACAATTTATTATTCCACCCTTGAGATGTGTTATTTAATGACTTGCCCTCCTCCAGGCATGCTGTAATCTCAACCAATGATCCGAGATCACAATGTTGATATTGATTGAGAAAATAGAATTGAGAACAGGCTCTGGGGACATGCCAGAGGTGTCCACTACCCAGCTACAGTGCACTTGTCCTTGAGTACTGATCATAGAACCTAGGCCAAGCGGTCCCTGCCTAGAGTTATTTTGAAAAATGTAGATCAAGAGTTAAGGGAGAAAGTCTCAAGGGATAAAATTTTAATTCCCCATAAAAAAACCCTCAAAGGGTTGTAAATATTTCGCAGGTGATAAAGCAAAATAAAATCAAGAGTTTTCAGAATAAATAATTATAATGATCATGTAGATATGTTCAGCCCCAAAGGCATCCTGTTTAACTTTGCTGATTAAAATCTCTGTTTGGACTAATATTAACTACACACAAATAACCTTTGTAATCAGTCACTCATTTCATGTTTTGATTAAGTGTAAATAATTTTGAAATTGCTTTTCGGGCAAATTCTTACAGTCAGTTTAGCCTTGTCATTACATGTTGGATAATAATTCAAACGCCTTGATGCAAATTGTCGGAAATGATAAAGAAGTGGTTCTATAACAAACAGGGACATAAATGCCGGAAGAAAATTACTACAGATCGTTAATAAACTTCATAACCTTGTCATTATTAACTACTTTAATGTCAGATTTTCTACATAATTTAAATTCAATGAGATCAGAAAACCATGAGGAGTATAATAACTAAAATGTGTACAATAAATGTATTAGTCCTAAAAGATCTAATAAGAATCTCTTAGTTGACATAAGAATTATCAGATTCCCCCTCCCACCCCATATTACAAAAAGACAATGACCAGATTTTGCTTGTGCAACTTTTTCCACCATGGTATATACTTGCTTTATGTTTGATCAAAACAAATTCTGGGTCGTAACATGGCTGTTGGACAATGTTGTATGTTATCAAACAAAGTGTGACAGAACTTTGATGAATCTCAAACACAAAAATCTGAAGGAACAAATTAATGTAAGTCGCATCCAAACAATCTTTTTCTTAAAAAAGAACTTTACATTAGATAATTAACTAAGAATCTGAATTCATAGGAATTAATCATAAGTAACTTTGCTTTCTATGAGAGCCTTACCTGGTTTTTTACAGCACAAAACCCCTGTAATACCGGGCCTAAAAGAACAAGACCTTCGGAAGTATGTGTCCACGCAGCAGCTTGCATCAATTCTACCACTTCCAATACATGACGTCTGGCCTTGGTTTTGGTGTGGGCAACTTCGTCCAATAGCCCCTAGATCATCCTAAAAAGCAAAAATAAATATCTTTCAAAAAAATTGCATTAACGAAAATAAATTTTGTACGTTATAAATGAGCAACTCAACGTTAATATAAATAAATTTTTGAATTTTTTTGAACTTTAATTGGGGTAGTCAGTTTATATGTGTTTGTAAATGTGGAGCAATATTTGTAATCTAGGTGTAGTTTCTAATTTGCATTAGATGTCCAATTTTTTACAAAATGGTAATTTAAAGACAGTCGATTTTCTTCCTAATGACTATTGAAAATATAAACACTCTGAAATCTCCAACCTGTGATTGGATGCGATATATTTTTTTAAATCTAGATGCAAAAAAAAAATCTCTATTTTCCAAAATTCATATAAAACATGAACCTATAAATTTAAAAAGTAAACACACTATGATTAACTGTAACAGTACAGTAGTTTTATTTAAATCTGAATGATGTTATTTGTTACTGAAATTTCCAAATATCGCATGGCCACATTGGTTGGTGTCCACTTTTAATATGAAAGTAGATGTATATCAAAGGTAAAAGTGGGTGTACAGGAAAACATGTGTTAAGGCTTAAGTTCTTTAAAGGTGCCACTTAGACTAAATGTTAGTCCATGAAGAATCTGCCCAGATTAGGTTTTAGCCTAGGAACATCATTCCAAGTTAAGCCCGAGATGTTGGATCGGCTTAGCAAGCAAGCTAAAGGCAAACGGAAGAGATAAAATCCCCATCAGGTGAAGTTTTGTTTCGCATGCACACGTGGTTAATCTAAGCCCCTAGATGATGGCGTGATCTACAAATACCATTATAATCAAGCTGATGTTAACCCATTTCTTTCTGCATTTTTCATTCTAGATCTAACAATACTGAAGTAATATTTCCGGAAAATTCAAAACTATAAAATCGGTAAAACAATTTATAGATATTCATAGACAGAATGCAGAACACTTGAATTTCTTTACTTTGTATATTTAAATATTTTAATTTAAAAGCTAAATTACATAAAATTATAAATGATTTATAATTAAATCTATTTTAGCTTTTAGGCCTTATGGAAAAAAAACAAATGAGACAATATTTTACTTGTTGGTTACGTACACTTCTGCATCAAATCATCACTCGGGTTTCTCTCAACCTATACTTAAGTAATCAATTAAGTTTCCAAGTCACAATGAATCAGAGAATCTAGTTCATTACAAAGAAAATGTAACTTTTACACTACAGAGGTTCTTTGCATAGCATGCAACAAACCATTATGGGCATCAAAACAACCTTTTTAGTGCATGGTAAGTGGTTAAGTGAATAAAGATTAAGACAGTGGTAGTTGGGGTGTAAGCTCCTACTTAGTGACACTTAATATTTAAGTACTGTACTGTACTACGAAGCCGCCAATTTTGTTGTCAGGTCAATAAAGTCTGTGTTTGTATCTTTGACATTATTTATGAGCAACAAGTTCAGGATTCAAACAGATTTGTAGCTTAAATTTTGAGGAATAAACAAATTAATGCATGTTTTGTAGCAATAATATTTTGCCTGTTTTTATACTAATGAAAAAAAAAAAAAGACATACTTTTCACCATCTCTCTCATTTTTTTTTGGTTTGGGGAGGTGAAGAAGAGCAGTTGCCTTGTTTTAACACCAAGGCCAAGATAATCCTGTAGAAACTTGCAACATTCTTACAAGTAGGCTTCACAGCACTGGTATATACCATTCGTGCATGCTATATTTCTGGGCAAGGTTTATATTTTTGTTTGGTAGATACTGTATATAGCTTTTTGTGTGGAGGTCCATCCTCCTGTTCATGTTACAGTAGTTGATATGGAAATACAATAAATATAGGATTTGAAAGTTAACTGGCTACTAATCCTACAAATGTCATTAGTTGGTTATTATATAAAACTTTAAAAAAATCATGAATATTGGGTACATCAGTTATCAGTGAAGTAGAAATGTGAGCAGGTAATCATAGACTAAGCAAATCAACTAGAAAAATATTTCTCCAATTATCTTGTATGATGAAATACTAATATAACTGGACAGGTACTTAAGTACTTATTTAGTCCTTGCACACCTGATGCTAAGTTAATATTTTGAGAACCTTCTACTAAGGACAGGTTGTCTGAAAGGTATGAACTCACTCCTAACAAGATTTAAGTCCAAATAAGAGTTGATAGAAAATAGGAACTCATAATCGAGTGATGTGCAGTACAAGGGACATGGCTATAACATAATGCATGAAGTGGGTTGCAAGGGGTGGGGACAATCAGAATGATAGGACTGTTACATCAAAAAGGATCTTATTGTAAACATTGATACAATGTTGGAAGTTTTTCACATAGTGATATAATAATAATTCTTTAAAAAAATGAAATTGATATAAGTCAACAATTTATCAACATTGCTTTTGAAAGATAACATGAATAAAAATATATGTGCAGCATATTGAAAATTTGGTAAAATTTAAACTCCATGTACAGATAATATATAGCTACAACTTCTTCTATAGGCCTATTTTGCTTTTGTTACTTTATTGAAAATTGTTTAACAACCATGTTCTCCAACACACTTAACTACATTAGCCACCTGCAAATACATTCCAAATCCCTAAGTTTGGCCAATAAGTGAACAATTTTACACCTGATGCTATTGATAATTCAAATGAGATGCGGAGTGGTGATATGACTCTTTAAGGTATTGCAGTTTATGCATCGTAATTTCAATGAAACACCAACACTTGATGCAAATTATTTTCCAAAATGCACAACCTCCCAACAGGTACTTTTTTTAACTCCCGCATTCATTTGGTAATCAGACGAGAAATTAACCGCGACTCTCTTTATTTATAATCACACATGGAAAATATTAGGTGGCAGATCAAATGCTTCCTTTAAGGTAACAAAAATTTCCCCTGCGTGTGGGATTGGCCGGCAAAGATAGCTGCTCGGTTGGCGGCCATGCAACTGTGAAATATTACTGCCTACAAGTTTCTTTTTACAGAAACAAGACATTACGAAGGAAAGGAATCAAAGAGGGATCAAACTCCGGTAAAATCCTCTGGATTTGCTGATAACTAATCAGAAACGGACTGTCTATTCTGTACATAATTACCAAAGCTGTTTTCAAGTCCAGTATATAATGCAGTAACACAAAATAAATTCATTAAAGGCACTTTCAGCATTACTTAGGCCTAGTTTCATGTATTCGGTGAGTATACCAGGCAAGATTCAAAGAAGGCAAGCTGGCCTCTCACCCCACCCTTAATTATTGAAAATTGTTTTTAATTGGAAAAAAAGAACAATGCATTAAAATGTATGTAATATTTGGCAATCAAGATGTGCCATAGTTAGGAAATCTTGATCTTAGCCAAAGCCATGGTGGGGGATCTCCCTGTGCCCTGTCTATTTCGAGATCCTCGATCCGTATCTGGAGGAAAATACAAGCCACTCTAAACTAAGATGAAATAACTACATCTGTGGATATGCTCATGGTGCATTGACCTACTATTTTAAAAAAAGATTTTCTAAGATGACAACAGCTAAAAAAAAAGGATCATGGAAGTTTAAGTGCATCTGCCAGGATTTGTTAAGTATTCTTTCCCCTTGTTTTTACTAGGCCCATATACAGTAGTGGAATTCATCATTTCCTGTAGGATTACTACGATTCACAAAACTATCTTGTCAAGTAAAGTTCAACCTGCCCTCTTTAAACTTGTTGCCTTGCTATGACAACACAACACAGGTGTTTCTACAAACTTTTTTTTAAAAGATATATTGCGTTATCAAAATATGAATTTCCAAAAATTATTGTAGAATAATTATGTATTTGAGAGAAAGTAGACCTACACAATGAAAGGGATGTCATCTGATAATTATATTATCAGAGGCCTGTGATGTTACTGGATTTAATTCTGCCATCCATCTCCCTCCCTCCCTCTATATCCCATCAGGGGTCCTAGATGTAATAAGCTTAATTTCTGTCATCCATCCCTTACCTATCACAATTTATATCTAGGCCTATATCATGTCAGATATCAATGACATTACGACTGTCTAGTTGTCATCTTCAAAAGATTCATCAACGAAGTCCCACAACAGATAGTATGGAGTGATTTCTGACACTTGAATTCCATCTGGCATTCCATTCATGACAACAATACGAAATCATCAGTTTTAACAGGTGAATGTCGAGCAAGTGAGAATGCCTCCTGCACCTGTACCTATCAACTTAGCCTACAAAAAAAAAGCCAATCTGACCTCAAGCCTATTTTAAATGGCTTGCTAGAGAGGGGAGCTCAAGTAAGCTGTCCGTAGTGTCAGTATGTCCAACAATTTCCTACAGAGATCAGTGGGGTGTAGAGGTAAGGTTCAAGTGGGGCCCAATGGTGCCTAGAAAAACTTGGCAGATTTTGGCTATTTTGAGCTGTTCAGAGACATTTAAGAATGTAATTCGTCCAAAAAATGTTCTTAAAGGAAAATAATTTTTTTTCTATTTCGGTCTAATGATGAACCTCTGCTGGCAGTGCTAACTCTATCCGTGTCAATTCATTTTTAATTATATTTTTAAAATGGTAGGTAGTTTATTAAGATAGATGCTATTTTATTATTACACACTTTAACCACCTTAAGCTAAATTTACACTAGACACGATTACGACACGACGACATAATAAGATGCGCAAGTGTTGAAGAATACAAACTACGTGATGATATGTCGTATGCTATGTGGAACAGTACAGAACAATGGTGTAAAGCACAGGCACTTTCAGGTTATATCATTACCCAGTAGTCCTACTTTACTGCAAAACTTATGAAATTTATTTGCATCTTCATCAGTGCATGAAATATCTATGGTTCAACCTCAAAGGTAGAAGAACTATATTATTTCATTTTGAGACCTTTCACTTCGGGAGGGCTGGGCAGCCATGCTGCATACAAAGGTACATTGTATGTCTTTAATAAAGATATGTTTCAACATACTGTAACCAAATAGATTGAGTAAGATTGACAGCTC